TTAGGTACCCAATACTCGCAACATTAAATAATTAAACAAAATATCTTTTTAAAATGTCATTTTACTCTTGGTCATATTATTTTATTCCCCTTACCGCTTTGAATTTCAAATCGATTACATATCAAACTTCTGTACATGTGTTTTTTCTCTACTGCCTTTTCATGTGAAAATAATGAGGTCATACTCATACTGAGGCCACGATGATGCCACAAAATAAGAAGATCGAACACAGCTTCAATTTTCAATGACGCGAAGCTGATGCCACAATGATGCGATGCTGAGGCGACAATGAAGCCATGCGTATGCGACAATGATGCCACAAAAGCCAAAGCTTCCGCAAGAACTGTACTGTACATACCAAGTATTAAAGCAAATGAGTCGGTAGTTTATAAGACGTCAAAAAAAGCCTTTTTTTGCTAAAAATAGAGAATTAAAGATATTGTCACAAGCTAAACACATCTGACGCGCGTCCATTCAAGGTACCTCCATACCAAGCATCAAAACAATTGAGCTGGTAGTTTTTAAGAAGAAGTCAAAAATAGAATTGTTGACATAGGACAGACACTGTCATCTTTGAAGACAGCAAAGCTAAAAAGGTATATTCACTGGATTATATTTTCACTCAATCATCTCTTTAGCAAAAAAAGCGAAAATGAAATATTTTACAGTACAACTACGAAAGCCCTCTAACCTCACCTTTTTGGCAATGTGTTGCCGTCCAACATAAATCATGAGATTCGGCACTCAACCACGTCCGTTGATAACATGGACGCGATCTGCTGGATTGACACATATTCACACATTCTGCTTGTTGTTTATTCTCTTTGATGTAATTCTTCACAGATCGTTGTACTAGCACATCAAAATTCACGGTATCCAAATAGCAGAGACTTGGGTTCTTTTCAATTCTCACTCCACCTCTCTGAAGCGTGGTCAAACTATAAAGTCCAATCTCTCTTAGGTCTTGCATTTCAAAAATCACAAGAGCGTAGTCAAAAAACAAAGTATGTCCGCGGATGACAGCAAGATTGGGAAAAATGTGTGCAAGCGTCGTTAGGCCCTTCACACGAAACAACAGTAAGAAATCCGTGATTTCTCGTAGCTTTGGAAATTTCAAGTGCGTATAATCACTAGGGTTGGCGCTGTCAATCAGTAAAATTTGTAGATATCCTTCAATAACTGTGCAGTTGTCCAACTGTTGAAACTGCTCGACTCCATTTCTTATATCGATGCTAGAACACACTGTAACAAACAAGAAAATAAACTAGTCAATGAAAGATCACAGAATATGGTTGCCGACCAACAATATTTCCACCCCACCGATTGGTTGCTATTTAAAGATTTGAAAGTAAAGTGATTTTATTTCATTACATATCTCTAACCAATCAGAAAGCTATATCGATAATCATCAATACATTTATTATTATACACATGCATATATCAATCATTTCATATTGGTCAAATCCGACTGAACTACATATACATAATATTGTCAGGAATGGCATTACTTAATTAATTAACCCATAGAGCGGCATGATTTTATCAGTTTATTTTGTATGTATTTAATTCAATAATTGTCCAGGTTTAAAAATTTTGAACGATGACAAAAGTTGACCGAGGGTTAATATTACACAAATAGAAAGTGCAAGGTTTGTTTTTTTTAACTTCAAAGCAGCTACAAATAAAAATAAAAAAATTTCACATCTTGGAGCATGGATCAAACTTGAGACAACTTGCACTAATTAGCACCGATGACTTCCAATCACCTAAAAATACCTAATTAAAGCTTGGTAACGTCTCATTTTGTACTCATTGATTTGCGCAACAGTCAAAGTCGCCATCTTTGTTTATATGAGAGCAATTTATCTCGCGCATGCGTCGCGTGACGACTACCGCCCTTTAAATAAAAGGTTAATGTGTTAGTACTATAATACCAAATACGCAGTTGCTTGTATTGGTAATACCTTTTTTTTCAATAATTACAAATTTCAGACAAATAAAATACACAACAGTTTTAGGAACATCTTTTAATCAATGTCCATATTGCAGCACATAGTAATAGGGACTGTGAAGAAGGAATTCTTGACAGAAAAAAACACTGGAGGTCATTAAAATTAAAAAGATGTTATTTATACATGGCTTTAGACATTTAACCCAATTTTAGGTAAAGTAAATACACTGTAAATCACTTTCAACTGCGATTTCAGAATGTTATGAGACATGTATTTCGTAAAAGTCACCTTGTTTTGTTTTTTTTAAACACCAGAGCATTTTTACGGTTAACAAAATTGATGCTAAATCATAGTAGTTTACAGTAACCCCTTTTCCTTAAGTCAACTGTTAAACCAAATTTTTTTTTTTTTAAATTTCTTATCAAGACTTTCAACCAATAAGCAATTAAGTTTATTTTTTTAATGAAAATAGCGAAAATTAATTCCAAGCAAAAATAAAGTATTTTACAGTATATATAAACATCTAAAATGTTGGTGCTTGAATGAGCAAGCACCAGCAACTGAAAAGAGTCCTAATTGTGAGTAAACAATGACAGCGAAGGAAAAAACCTCATATGCATACATTAAATACACTGCAAGCCATAATCAAATCCAATATGGCTGTTGTTTTCCCCAAGCTGACCTCCTCGTTGAAACTGCTCTTTACATTAAACGAGAAAATACGAGACCTACAAAGGTACCAGAATTTATTTTTATACCCTTGAGATTACCGGCTAATAAATAATTGCAGCACAAGTCATATTTTGATGCTCAATAATGGCTGCCTTTTGGCAATTCACAAGTTGCCTAAACAGTGTGAAGAACACCTACACATTACTCATGGCAAAGCCACACTTCATTTGTGCATGTTGTTTTTTTCATTCATGTTGGCACATTGCCAAGATTTCAATAAGTAAAAAGCTCAATCTAGATGTGTAATGTTTAATCATTAGCACAGAATAACAGCATTACTAATAAGATTATTTTAGGATTTTGGGGGCCCAAAAATTTTACAATTGAAGGAGAAAAAATATTTTTGATGAGTTGGACAACAAAAGCATGTTTTCAAAAATCAAAGAAAGAATTCTCTAACCATGAGATCAGTAAAACATGGTGTAGGATTATTTACAATGCAAAGGTTTAGATTATATTTCAAGCTGTGAGAGAGAAAAAAAAATCAAAATAGTACTATGATGGTGATTTGTGAGTGGTTCTTATCAAAACACTTTCAGGGAGAAATGAAACAACCTTCTGGATTGGCTATCGTAAACAAAAATGTATTCATGTATATTGAAGCGACTGGCACGTCATATAATTATAAGTAGTCCAGTCAATGACTACTGGAGAGTCAAATTCAAAGCAATACATATTTGATTATGACACGCATTGGCTATGATTAATAGTTGTGTGTAGAAAACAACTTGACATTCTGAATGCCATTGCAGCATGGATTGAAATAGTCAAGATGATGACGTGACTATAGACATGTATTGACCATGCCCTAGTTTGCTGTTATCGTAAGCCACATAGACTGAAGTCATGTCAATAGAACGTAGCTCACGTTTTGTCACCCTCTCCGTCCTACCAACAGAGGATTGAGGTGGGTTCTTGTCAGACCCAGTGATTGAAACAGTAAAAATATGTAACATTTTAACACTGCCTATCACTTATTCAGGGCTACTGCATGTGCACATATTTTAGCCATATGACCTCCGAACAATTTTAATGTAGGACAGTTTCTAAATTTGAATGAATTTTATGTAAACGATGTTTTTCACATGTTTGGGACAAAAATAGCCAATTTTTTTTTTATTATTAAAACCTGAAAATTGACTCAAATTTTGTTTGTTGGCTTGCAATTCGGGCTCATTTCCAGAAATATTGAAGAATATAAGAAAAAAAGTGCAGAAAAATTTTGGCGAGGAAGTCTGCATTTAAAGAAGACAATTTATTACCAGAAAAAAAGAACAAGATAAATATATTCTAGAATATGAAAAGAATTTAAATCTGAATAAGAGGTCTTTTCCAAAGCAAGGACTCTACATATAGATGTAAGACTATGTCATAAAACATGGTGGCAACCCCCAGGAAGTGCTGGTCAAACTCATTCATGGCAACTGAAAAGGGAGCTAGTACAGAACAAGGCCGCTCTATTATTCCATTCAAGGCCAGAGCACTATTATTGCTGGGCAGTTGTAAAATGCTGCAAAAAGGCCCTACAAACATGTACGACATAGTTCAGCAATCTCACTGTGTGCATTATTCCCTTCTCAACCTGTGTATGACTGGCTTTTGTTGTTGTTTACTCATTCAACGAGCTACAGCGCAAATAAGCAAGAACCGCATGACCACGAAAGTGGGGCACATGTAATCTTCTTGTGTATTCTTGACGTGTGTGTGCACACACACACACACACACATTTCAGAAATGTTTACTCGTTTGTTGACTGCAAATCAGTTCAGTTGGCATTTTCTGTTAAATACTTTGCAAAACTGAACAAAAAAATGTTCCCTCTTATTATAATTCCATAATTTATGACGAGTTTCTTGGAACACGGTTTTTTATCCATTTAAGTATTTTATTTCAAATGTGAGTCCCATTTGTAAATCAATCACATGGGATTAATTTCTCCGTAATTGTTATTGCAACTTAGTAGTGCAATCAATCGTTGATTACCGGTACTCATCATTTTAGACGAGATATCGTTGTCAATAACAACCAAAAATTAAAGCCGCAAGCGGCGTCACCGGGGCCCAAGCTGACAAGATTCTGTTTCATAATTAATGTGGTCACATGTTAGACAATCAGGTAGCTTGAATTATCAGTAACATGAGGTCAAAATGAAGTTGGTACCATGTATTTACCTGGTTTGGTTATCGAAATATGGTTTTCAGGATATATAATGAGCCATGTTCTTATGCACAAAAATGAGATTACATAATCATATATAGTCATTTCTAATGTCAGTTACATCTTTCATTCAATGTCTTCATAATGACACTAGTTACATGTCCTGCTCTGCGACAGTGTTTCAGATATGACTGCTATGCATATTAATGAGT